GCTCCTATCACAGATCCGTTGTATGCGTATAATAGTTTGTTTAGATACGATGAAGGCTTTATAGCTAGAAAGTTATCAGTAAGAAAATAAATAAGGCACCTTTCAACTCCTTGCATCGCCTCACCCCAGTTTTATTTGGCCTAATGCTAAGAGAATGATGTGCTTGAATACCTTTTACAAGTGGAAATACAACGCGGCACCAATGGTGTAGCGGTATCATTGTACCCTCCCACGGTACAGACCCGGGTTCGACTCCCGGTTGGTGCAAATCTTTTGCATTTGTGAATTAAAAATTTATCGATTAGTTTAGACCAGCACTACAAAAACTTTGAGGAAGTGTATGAACGTATTGAAAGTTGTCGCGATGCAAACTATTCGCTATCAAAGTGCCGTTGTAGATTGGACACTTTTGGAATTATGAGGTAAAATGAAGTTGCCTGAAGGTAAAATCTAGGGTTCACCAACATGTGAACTACCATAGCCTAGCAAATTCCAAACTGTAGATTTTTGTTTCTGGTAAATATTGTTAGTGAACAACTAGGAGATCCATACCACTAGGGAAAGATTTCTGATATACCGCCTTGATATAGACTATTGCTACGAGCAGATTTCTTCTTAAATCTGCTTAAGGTAAGAACTTACGCGGAAAATTCTGTACTAAATGCTTGTCAGACATATTCATCTTCATAGTTTCGACCTAAATGTTAATTTGGGGAGGCCAGAAAGTGGAAGGCAAGTTACCGCATTACGATAATTAACCTTATGTTTGTCCCTTATTGTTTGCCATGGCAATCCGCAGTGAAGTTCAATAAGAACGTAAAACAAGGACCATAAATCATCTCGTCGACCCTGTAAGATGACGTTCTCATAGGTTTGCTGAGAACAATAATCATTTCCGACAAATTCCTCTTTTCCTTTCTAAAACCCTTTTTCCAATTACGTGCTTACACTACAACCATACCTGTTCTTTCTTTTCATGAACATTAGGCGAGCAATAACGAAGTGTTCCTCTGAACTCCGCGGAACCTCTGGCTTTTCGTGCAATCCATTTACCATTTTTCTACAAACATCTGCATCTCTTCCATTCTTTACATATCGGGAACCGAGCAATATATTAGCCTACATACCAATGCAGCGTATGATCGTGCAAGTCCAAAATCTAGTACGTGAACTATACGAGCTCTTTGGCAGTCGTCTTTGTGTCCCATTACAAAATTGTTAGGTTTTATATCTCGGTGAATATAACCATAATCATGAACGAGTTTTACACTGGAAAGGCAATTTCTAGAATTTAAACTTTTCCCTCACAATCAATTATCGATTATAGACCGCTGCGGCCGCTTCGCCGCACAACTGCGTTGCAGTTCTGCCGCAACTTTTGGAAGACTACAAAGTGTCCCATATGGATATGGTCACATTGTCATGTCTTTTGATTTCAAATCGTTTCTGGACCTTTATGATTCGTGTTGGCGGACTGAGCTCAGATTTGCACCATTGAACGGATCTTGTATCTCATTCCAATAAAATAAAATTAC